ACGGAACATCTGATTCGTCACTGAGACAATTCAACATGGCGGCTTTCTTTGAGCCCTCAGCGGTGAAAACTTGGGCAGGGAACCAGACTTCAGGGCTCATACCACTAATTGAATTTCCATAGACGACAATGTTAACATATGACGAGATTGCTATATGAAAATGACGAAGAAAGTTGAAAATATGGCTCAAAAATGGGAAATCAACATGCCAGTAATCAACCATATGAAAAAAACTAACATGTTGGCCAGCTCAAACTCTTGCAAATCTCAGGTAAACAAGACACACCTACTGTATTTGGATTGCACCAAGAGAAATCACTGGAAAAACACCAAGATTAGAACATCCATTAACACACAGAATAAACCCACAGGTACACAGCCGCTAAGTAGTAAACAAAAGACCACATGTTGGTCTCACCTCTGACCCAGGTGATTACGCCCTCAAACAGGGAGCACCTGAGAAAAATAATATTTAAAAAATTTCATTGGTTCTTGCTGGGCATTTAAATTGACTACGAGCAGCCATTGGTTAATTAGTGGCATGAGACCTATATGACTTGACGCAATGATCCCGGGACCCGCCGTAGGCGGCAGTATTTTCATGCGAGGTCAATTTTGGATCACCAGGTCATTCCTAAACGCGTAATTAGGACTGAGACGAGAATCAATTTTGGGTGCCAGAAATCAACCAAAGACGCTTATTTTGGTATAATTTGCGCTGTCAAGACAAAGTTCAGGTTAATAAAATAAGATTGGCGACGTTTTCCCAGGAGAAAAAAGTGAATTATTTGTTGAAAAAAGTGGAGAAAAATTGATACTCAAAAATCGTGACGTCGACTCTACGCACATGCAATGCAGCGTCATGGAAATTGTCTACAGTACACGTACACGCATCTTTCGATGACGTAGATTATTTTGCTAGTCAGCCCAGGACGCCGTAAAGACATTGTACTATAAATAGAAGGCAAGAGCTCTTGCCCTTTTCCACAAATTTTAATATATTCTTAACAATTTACCTATAAAACTCTGCACACCATGCTATGATCATTCAGTGTTTTGAACTAAACGGATTTATTGGCACATGATGTCATGAGTCAGGGAATCTAATGGCCAAAAATAAATCACCAAATTCTGCATCGTACATAAATGATGACAGCGATTTACTAGGCCTATGGCCTGTGAACTCGCATGATTTGTGTATTGTGCACATGCACGGTGCGACTAGTAAAAATTACCTAACCTACCGGTCCTTCACGGCCACAGTTGTCACGATGCATCTCAATAAAATAGCATCTAAAACCAAAATAAGGCCGATATGTGTAAATACTTGTACACAAATAGTCTGGTCTATGCAGCCAGCAATAATGAAATTGCAAGAATGGCATTG